GGTCGCTAATGACCCCGGCGACAGCGAGACCCGCTGCGGGCCCCGAGGCCGCAGCGAGAGGCGGGGGATGCGGCGCGGTGGGTGCAGGGGTGCAGGAGCGGAGCCCCCTGCCCCTCGCTGCGCTTCTGGGTTGGCACCAGCTGCGGTGGATGGGAGGGGATCCCCGATGTCGCTGTCACTGCAGCACGGGTGACGGGGGCCATGGACAGCCCCGAGACTGTTAACAGGGGTGCCCGGCTCTGTTAACCTTTAATTTCTGCCATGCACTGAGTGCAGCGTCCTTACCCATGCATTACACGCGTGCAAAGGCACTGCCAGGCTTTGGTTTGGTCCCCTGGCTCCTTATGACTCAGGAAGGACAAATACGAGTGTTACTGTGCACATACATATGCACGTGCTATGTGCGTAGCTAGACAGATTGCAGAAATACTTTGCTAGTAGTTTTTCCCAGAACTTACTTCGGGCTTTCCACACAAATACTAGACAAGCACTTCCAGATGATAGAAACCTGCTTGATTTGGGAGCTGCCCTCACAGCTGCTAGCACAGGTCCTGCTGCGTTATTAGTGACACCCACGTATAGGGACCACAGGAGTCCTGTGGTGCACACCAGTGATATCCAAGTTTGGTCTCAAGGGGAGGCTCCAGCTCTAAACCAGCATCTTCTCTAATCTTGAGATTCTTTATAAAAATACCTTGGGACAAAACCTTGCAGGAAAGGGCACCCAGACACGCAGACAGTCTGTGGTGGACTTGGTGCTGAGTTGTTAGCTCAAGTGCCTGATAAGAACCTGCTGTTTCTAACTTATTTGACTAGAAGCTGAATATTCAAAGCTAATACCAAACTACTAGTAAGATCATGTTAAATCGTTCTATGTATCTCATAGCTAAACATAGAAACAAAAGCTTTGTGATCTTTCTCTAAGAAAAAGCTTGAGGAAATGCCAACAAATCTGGTTCCTGGAATCAGCTCAGTAGTCTTACACTAGAGGATGACATTTGTAAACAGCCCTTCTCATTTATTATGATAAATCAGCATGTTCCTATTTTTGAAGCAGGACGATCTACAGATCTGAAATAATTATTCCTCATTCCATTAAATTACCTATGGACATTTCCCATGTGAAGCTATAAGAAGTGGCCTAGATCTCCTAGATCTCCTTGGGCTGTGGTTTCACCAGCAACTCAGCCTATGTAATGCCAAGCTTGCACTGAGAGGAGCTCAAGGACTTCTTGGACCTCTCTGAGCTCATTCAGTGTGCCCATCTGGCAGAAATGCTCCACTCTTTGGTTAGGTTAGTTTTTCTCTATGGTTGTTGGGTTCTCTGTGTTCCCAGAGGGATCTGATCACTGCCAGGACCCACAAAAGGAAAGTAGTGGAAGTAGGGAGGTGGCAGAAGGAAGAAGAGGCAAGAGAAAGCGAGACATCCCATTGTTAGTAGACATCTCATTTGTAGCAGCCCTGAGATCAGCTGGAAAGGTCTTGCAAAACTACACCCTAAATTGTCTTTTGGTAACTTTGTTCTGCTTCTCTGTTGTCGATATTCTGGTCAAAAGGTTAGTTTTTTCCATTTTTTTCCAGGCAGTAAAATCTGCAAAACAGGTGATAAAAAACAACTGGCAGACAAGTGTTAGCCAGTGGGGTATTTTAAAGTTCCCTTTTCCCTTCTAAGTGTATCACTGTTAGTGCAAAATGAAAACTTGGGGGGTTTCAGGATCAAAGACAGGTGGTCTCCGAAGCCTTTGGGGCACACAAACAAAAGATAGGAAGCCAGCACGGAGATGCTGTTCAAGGAAATGCACTGTACCCCGCTTGTAAATGCGGGATGAGGCTTCGCTGGGAATGATGCAGCCAGGCTGCTGATTCTGCGTGTGTGGAGGAAAGTGCAAACGGGCAGCGCTGCATGTTGCACATGCTTAGCCCTAAAAGCATAAATAAAACTATCATTGCAGCGTTGCACATACAAATACTGTGAAATGTTGGTATTTAAAGACCTCTTACATCAGCCCAAACACATGTGTCTAAGCTCTAATACTCACCATAGCTGCTTGGTCGGAATTCCTTCCAAAGTTCATGTCGCCCCTCTTGCCCCAGCAGGACGGCTGCTGCAGACCCTGTGTTGCACACGTAGCCAGCAGGCAGCAAACTCTGTGCAGCTTGACTTAGTCGCACCTTGGTGACCCTGGTTTTGCACTTAGGCCACACTGCTGGTGGGGACAGTGTCTAGATTCCCACTTTTCCCACCCAGGCAAGTGTAAACAAGCCAGGGGAGGAAGAAGAGGAGGCTGAAGGGGCTTTTCCCTCTCATGTGGCCGTGCCTCGGTCACTTTGATCTGTGTTTTTCCTTTGCAAGGTCAGGGAGGAAATGGAGTGATTTATGGAAAATAAACAAAACCATGGGCTATATCTTAGATAGTATGGCAAAATTTCAGGTAGTAGTGTACTCTGCCTCCAAGGTCAGTAACCAGCTAAGCAGAAGCAACTGACTCTTGATTAGTTGAAGTGTATTTTTTAGAGAAGGGATTTCAACAATTTGGCTCTTGGAAGAGCATTTAATTGATCTCTGATAGCCTGTCTTGCTTGGGAATGAGGGTCAAGACCTTGCCTAGGCTTTATGTTCTCTATCAGCCTGTACACTAAAAGCATACAAGCTGCCCACAAGTTACTTTATGTAGGTCACTGCTACCTCTTGACTGAAGCCTGACACTTGATGGCTGTGTTAATTAGCCATTTTGGGGTGGACCAGGTTTGGGCTTACCCAATTTCCTCCCTTATAAAGCACACTGCAATATTAGTAATGGTTTCAGAGCAGGGATTTCAACCTTTTTTAATGACTGTTATTATTATTTTTTTATAAACAGAAGTTGCCCTTGGGCATATGATGTTTTCTGGAGTAGATGTTATGTTCAGTACCAGTCTCTGCAGACTGCTGGCCACCTCTTCAGCCTTTTCAGGGAACTCCACCTTTCCCAATTCATGCTGCTGTTAAGCAGTTTAGAAAAGGATTAGAAGACTTTTCAGACCAGTGTTTTTGTTAAAATAGCAGTGGCAATTCAGCACTTTCTTTCTGCTTAGGAAAAAAGGAAGCATGTTTCTTAAAGCTTTTTTCTCACTTGTTTTCCCCAAGTGACTAAATGCAAAATATAGTTCAACAGCTTTGTATTGCAAACACCTATAAATCATGAAGCTGTAAGAGAAAAGGCAAAACCAGTTTTCATTGTTCTTCCAAAGGCCTCACTTTGGGTAGGTGATCACTTTTAAAAAACTGCTTAATAAACCAGAATGTGTAGAGTTCAGAATCATTAACTTTTGAATGGTGACAGCACCTACAGGTCCATAAATTTCGACTTTTTTTCACAGTAGTTGGGTTCAAAAGTTCATTGGCATCCTAAGCCACAAAGAACTAAGTGCACGCAACACTAGCAGTTTCTCAAGAAAGGTAATCAGGAGAAGCTTGCCATTAATATATTACTATCCACTATATAGGTATATGAAATGTTATCATTATATTTAAAACTTTATTAGCTGATGCCACTCTGCTGTTTGTGGGTTTACACACTAAAAAGAACATAAGGATTCAAGCTATGGAGCTGTCCAGAGGTCTCTTCGTCTAGACTGAGACCTTGACTAGTGTTCAGATTTTAAACAAACTTGCATGCAGTTTTTGGAGGCAGAATTTGTTGAGTCTTTGTGAGCTGCTGAAGCCAATCTAACATTTTCCTTCTGATGGGCCCTTCTACCAGATCCTTGCCACTTCCTTACTTCTCTGCTAGTGAATACGTTTCTCTTAGTGCATTGATTCATCTGAAAACTAGCCCTGAAAAACTTCTTTTCATTCGTCCCACTGGAGATGGCTTGTCTGCTGAATTCTTTAAGGCAGATAGGACATCAGGGATTGTGTCATTAGATGTTTGTGGAAGACGTTGCTCCAGTGCTCCCTGCCCAAGCCATTTCACTTTCTTTAATTTCTTTCTCAATATCAAAAAATTGGCAATCTTCTCTGGCGAAATTCCACCAAAGGAATACACTGCAAGAAAATGTTTCAAAGGGAAGGTTGCTGAGCTTGCAAACTGAAGTGCTCCAAACCCAAGAAGTTTCCAGCTATCTCTACCCTGTCACAACATTTTTGCCTGATGCACCTTCTCCTGTGATTGTACTAATTTTAATGACATCGTGTCCCATAAATATGTATGTGTGTGTGCAATAATTTAGTCTTTCCAGTCACTAGCTTTTCTCAAGTGCAACTCAGAGATAAAGCAAATAATAGTGCAAGTGCAAAGAGTGCTCACTCTTTGTTGAAGTGCACAACAAGGCAGACATTGTAAGAGTGTTTCGCGTTGTATATTTTATGTATTGCATTTGAGATGGAGTGAATCATTAACTGCAGAGATTAGCAGAGATTAGCAGGCACAGGATACAGCATGCGGGAAGCACGTACAGGATTATTTTAGGTTAGAGGAGCTGCCCATGAGCAGGTGAAGGAAACTGGCTATCGAAGCTAATGCAGACAAGCAGTATTGGTGACATGGGGGATCAAGCGCCGCTGTGTTCTGCCCCCACACAAGCCCTGCCTCTGCGGGGGCAGTGGCCATCAGCTGGCAACCTGCCTGGGAAGTATGTCCATTGCTGGTCCTTTTAATTTACTGTTTGTGCAGTGATAGTGCCCAGGAATTTGAGCTATTTATCACATCCCTGCGGAGGCAAGCAGCGTGTGCTCAGGAGGAAAACGAAGCCCTTGCAGCACAGATCTTGCATTGTGCACTGGCTGCTTCGGAGCTGCAGGTGATCTGCTGGGATTCTGATTTCTCTCTGTCTGAGATCAGACACAGAGCCCCAAAGTGGCATCCCAAAAATGCAGAGAGAAATACGTGTGGTGCAGGGAGAAGCAGTGGTTGCACAGTGCACTGGGATTGGGTCCTGTGCTTGGGAAGGCGCCTCCTCTTTTCTCCTTCCAGAGTCATGTTGGAGGAGTGAGAGACCAGGCTGAAGCCAGGAAGGAGGTCAGCCAGCTTTTACTCTTGGATATATGGACAAGAATTAGGGAGTAGCCTGCACACCATATTTTAACTGAGACATTTCTTAGTATCTGTAGGATCTAGTGCGTTTTCAGTGCTTTACACAGAAATTTCCACAGAAATCGAATAATTTGAATGTCAAATTCAAATCAAAAGTCAATCTCTTTGTAGTCCAAGTTTGAGTCTGTTAATTTTCCCTTCTCATCCCCATGACCAAGTTATGCCTGAGCATAGGCTTGGTTGGTAGCTCGTGGCTTAGGGACTGCTCTCAGGAGAGCCCTCCCGCGGCTTCTGACCCCATCTGCCTTTCGAGCTCCTGCGGACGAACCGGGCAGGAGATGAAAGGCTCAGTACGAAGCAAGAGTTAGTGGCTTTTGTTCTTGTGCTCGGCTTACCCCTAGTACAAGAGGGATGTGCAACTTCTAGAGAGGGTCCAGCATAGAGCGACAAAGATGATTAAGGGATTGGAGCATCTATCGTATGAGGAAAGACTAAGCGAGCTGGGCCTGTTTAGCCTGATGAGAAGCCTAAGAGGGGATCTAATCAACCTGTACAAATACCTGAGGGGAGAACGTAGGGAGAATGTGGCCAGATGCTTCTTGGTGGTGGCCAGCGACGGGACAAGGGGTAATGGGTACCAACTGAAACCCAGGAAATTCCATCTCCATGTGAGGAAGAACTTCTTTCCTGTGAGGGTGACAGAGCCCTGGAACAGGCTGCCCAGGGAGGTTGTGGAGTCTCCTTCTCTGGAGATCTTCAAACCCTGTCTGGATGCCACCCTGTGCCACGTGCTCTGGGTGTCCCTGCTGGAGCAGGGGGTTGGACTAGGGGATCTCCAGAGGTCCCACTCAACCATTTTGATTCCATGATTCTAAGAAGTGTACATCCAGGAAAGTGCCATAGATATTAAACTACAGCCTGAAGCAGCCCGAAGAAAAACTACATTAAAATTCTAAGGTTAGTAATGACAGAAACTGCAGAACTTAAAATCTCAGTGAACCACTGGTGTTCATAAAGTGCAGGAGTGTGCATTTCACATTGATTATGTTTGCTTTGTTTTGTTTTCTTAAGCAGGAACAGGACATCTAAGCCATATATTTGAAACCATTTTAATGTATAAACCACTGTATTTTAAATACAACTTAAAAAACTATTTGCACATATTCTCACAAGGATCCTTAGTTACACTAGTATGACTAAGACTACTAGTATTATAAATAGAATGAGCAGTTCGCCTTAACCAGCCAGCAGAAGGAAAATGGAGAAGGGACTTTTCATTAATTTCATAAATATTGACAATAGTCACATTTTTTTTTCCAACAGTTTAGAGATTTGATCTTTACTTTGAATCCCACATTTCTCAAGTACACCTAAGGAGAAACAACTGTGTTGTGATTTTGTCTCTTTCCCACAGCAGCAAAATTAAAGCTGATGTCAGAATTAAAGAAAGTTAAGATATATAAACCCAATCACTCACCCACTGCTAGGCAAGTGTTCTGCACCAGGAGTGAACGTATGATAATGTGCAACCATGTTCCTTCATTCTTGGAAAACTCTGAAGCAATGAGACTCTAAGAGGTTTAATAGAAGCATGGAGAAAGGAAGGATGACCTACAGACTCACAAGTTACTTGGGTTGTGGAGAGACCTGTGAAGTCAAAGGAGAACCGAGAATAGATGGAGTTAGCCAGATATTTGGAAACTTAGGTAAGAAAGAAGATGGCAGGCTAGAGTGGCAGCTTAAATATGCTGTTATTTAGATTGGTCATGGATGTGACACTGATCTCCTTCCCTGGAGATCTTCAAAACCCACTCGAACGCAGTCCTGTGCCATGTGCTGTAGGTGACCCTGCATGTGCAGGGGCATTGGACTAGAGGACCTCTAGAGGTCCCTTCCAACCTTAACCTTTCTATGATATTCTATGATTCTACCACTTCTGGAGCCCTGTAAGTCTTTGATTGCAAAAAAAGGTAAAGAAGAGAAATGAAAGGATAATGCTAGACCAGAATTAAATTAACCCTGTTCACCAAAGAAGTAACATGCATGTTATGGCATAGGTTTAGCATAGCTATGCAGTCTGAGTCCTGCTCTGGTTTTACACAACCAGAAAACCTTGCGCAAGTTCAGCAAAGTGCATGAGAAAGTTGTAAGGAAGTCAGAGCCTTAGGCCAGGCACAGTGTTCGGTGGGTTGTTGGGCAGAGATATCCAAGGCCGATACAATCATATCAGTTCCAACACCCAAAGCAGCCCAGCTGTGTCCGTGCAAGCCTAAGAGTGAGAAGATGAGTTAGTTGGTGAGAGGTTTCGTGGCAGCTGGTGGCTTTGCTGGGGATGGCTCTTTGCTCGTGGGGACCCTTTGGGGAAGCTGTCCGGCAAGGCTTGATGATGGCCTTTTGTTTGGATCAGATGACATTACTAGAGAGGCTCAGAAATTATATGTTTGCAATCACCAAGTTTATTTCTCCTCCAAGGTTTTGAGCTCAACCTTTGTGTTTCTGCCAGGTTATCATACCTGAACAGAGGCAGACACTGACATGTATTATTCTGTGTGTTCTGAAATCTGTGCCATGTCACTTATGCCACCATACATCACAGTGACAGCGGTGTGATAGTGCTGCTTCAGAATGCAGCCCCTTTCCTTTGTTATCAGCCCTATAACTTTACATTTGTCATAGTTCATTCTGTATCTGGGGAGCTCGGGCAGTTACTGCAGTGTGAATCTAATGCAAGGAGGGGGGTTGGCTGGCCTGGGAGGAAGAGCTCCAGGGCCTGCTTTTGGTGAGAGATCCTACAGTCACATTGGCTTATTGCAGCTCATGGAGGCGAACTCTATGAGAGTGCCTGTGTCAGTCCAGGAGTCCCTTCTACTTAATCTTGTTCCAGCTCCAGAACTCATAAAATCTTTCCCTCAGTGGATTTAATGTATTAACTTGGATGAGTAACTCAACAAGGAGCAAGGATTTTTCATGCCTGTTTACAGAGCTCAAGTAACTTACAGAGAAGCTGATGAGGGCCAAAGCCACCACAAGGGACAGCCATGTCACATGGAGGAGAGGAGAGCAAAGGGAAGGTAGGCAGGGAAGAGAGACCTTCTCCTTCTGGTGGCAAAAATGATAGATTGACCCAGCTGCCTTTGAAACCATGGCCTCAGTTATGCTGCAGGAATGGCCTATGCGCTGGTATGAGTGTGAGCCCAGGAAACAGTCGCATGGATTAGGCATTGGAGCTGGTTTGCATCCCCCCAGCCTTGGAGGCTGGGCAGAATAATCTCTTTCATTTCTCAAAGATCCTGAAGATGCAGCTAAAATCAGAGTGAGACCATGTTTTTCTATCTTTACGCAGACATAAAAATCTGCACTATTTGCAAACCAGTGGGGAATCCAGCCCTTGTTAGAGCCCCTTCTTACAATTTAAACTTCAAAACATTAAACTGCTTTCAAGGAGATCCTTTTAGTAAAGTTTAGGTACTCCAGCAGGTTTGTATCCTTAAACATGAGGGATTTTTAAGTTTCAGATATGCATGCAAGTAGGCAGGCAACTTGTGATGCAGAGGGCATGATGCACTAATTCTGGGCACACAAGGTCCTGTTTGGCCTGTCTCATCCATGGCAGCCAAAGACCACGTGTTGCTGGTCTTCAGTAGCATGAAGAACCCATTCGTGTTGAGAAACCCCGAGATCATATCCCAGAGTGTAGCAAGGACTATACGGAGGATGAAAAGGCGGCTTCTCCCTCGCAGTAATATTGTGTTTGATGTGATGGAAGAGGGAGAGGAAGAGAGAGTGGAAGAAAACAGGGAAAAGGGCAACATAACTGAGATCAAGAGCCAAGGAAATTGTCTTTCCAGGAGTGTTTTAGGTAGATAAGAGGCAGATATGGTTTTGTTTCTCAAGGACGAAGCATGGAAGAAGCCTTGAGGTATAAGATACAGGGGAAAGAGGACTTGGAAGAGAATTCGAACTTTCTGGGGGAGAAGTACAGCTGCCTTGAGAGGTGCCTCATAGTTTGCATAGACCAAATTTCTTCTGCTGATAAGCAGCATATAACACTATCATATTTATCTCTGTGGGTCTACGGATCTACAATCTACCTGGTTTGGGAAAATTCTGCCATCTCCTATTAATGCATCGGCAATTAGGGCATTTGGCTTTTAATTGTGTTTTCTCTTTAAGTGGGTTTATTTCATTGCTGTTCATATTAAGGACTACTGCTAGTGCTGGGATATTGCCATAATGTTCCCATTATTGTTCAGCTAAACTGTTGTATAATCTGTTGTCTCTATGTTCACACCACTCTTGCACATTGGATCAAATGAGTCTATTGGCAGGAGTTAAAAAGAAGTATTCTTATATTGTATCCGTTGCTCTTCACATTGTTCTTGTGTCTTCAAAGCACTGGGGCTGTGGGTACCCTTGTGTTTTCACAACCCGTTCTCAGCTCTGATGTGACAGGCAAACCAAACTCCAGACATAATTATCACATGGTTCATAAAAAACAATGATTTTTAATGTAATGCAAACGAGTGCTGCAGAATATTCACAAGAAGCTGAAGTCGTAAGTGCCTTGTCTGAGGAATCGGACTCCAGAACTTAGAAATATACGCTTTGGAAAGGGAATGTGACAGCACATAGCCAACACATCCCTCAAAGTTAGGACTGCAAATAAAGGAAATGAGTCCTGAAAAGGTATTAGCTAAGCGTTATTTATAGCACCGATTGCCAGTACATAGAATAATTTCCTTTCATTGCTTACAAAAAAAAGATCCTTCTCTCGATAATTATACATCCTTTTCTGCACCAGAGTATGATTGTATGGCTTAGAAATCAGGGTGATATAATAGAAAACTGCTAATTGTTTCCTCATACTCAGGATGTAATTAACTTATATTTTCTTCCAGATAAAATTATTTTTAGTAAGACACAGAAAGAGCAACTTCCACCTTAATCTGCTGCTGTCTATGCAAATAGAGGAAGATTTTGACGTGGAGAAGCTAAAGTAACATAAGTATGTACAAATCCCCAAAGAAATATAATTTTGAGAATAATTTGAGACTAGAAGCTTAAAGAAATGTCATGGACGATTAAAGCCTTTTCAAAGTTAACATCATTTGTGTCATATAAACACAGACCTTTGGGGTCTTTGGGGAAATTGTAGAAATAGATGAGGTTAAATTAATAAGCAGACCTTTGTGACCTTTGCGATCAGAAATATCCTTTATTTTCTTTCATAACTGGAAGCACTGGGATCATTCTGCTTGTCTAATTAGACAAGGTGATGAAAATAGGTTCTGGAAAGCTCACTGAACAAAAGAAAGAAAAAAAAAAGGCTTATTAAACATTTATTATCTAATCCATGATTTGTGCAAAATTATGCATTCATCTAAATAGACAGCAAGAGGTGTCATGGCACAAGATCAAATTCAGCACTTGTGAGACTGCATCCAGAGAACTGGATCCAATTTTCTGCTCCCCAGCAGAAGAAAGGCCCTGAAATACCGGAGTAAGTCCCACGGATGCTGCTGGCCTTGGAGTATATGATGTACAAGCCCATGCGCACGGCTGGTTTTGTTCAGCCTGGAGAGGAGAAGGGTCAGGAGATCTTATTGCTGTCTACACTACTTAAGTGGGAGGATGTAGGAAAGGAAGAGCTAGAAGAAGTCCAAGAGCTACATCTTGGATGTGCATAGGGACAGGACAAGAGGCAGTGCAGCAAGTTGCAAGGGAATTTCTGATTGGATATTAGGAAACAATTCTTCACCATGAGGATGGTCAATACCTGGAGCGGGGACTAGGGGAAGTTATGGGGTCTCTACCCTTGGAGAGAGTCAAATTTTGATTGGATGTCCTGAATACCCTACTCTTAACTGGACCTGCTTTGAATGAAGGTTAGACCAGATGACCTCTAGACATCCCTCTCAGCTCCAGATAATCTTAGGTCTCATGGAGGCATGGCGTGATGTCTTCTTCATTTAGCTGTGGTGACTGATACTATTATTATTATTATTATTATATGGATCAAGTGCACTCCAGCCATTGCACATGGACTTTGTGCATGATGGACCTGGTTTGTGTGTTCATTTGTGTGCCTAAGTGCTTCGCTCAGTCCTGGAGCTCTGACTTTGAATGTTAAGAATGGGTTTTTAGTCTCCCGCTGAGAGAAGGAATTGTTAAAAGTTTCTTTCCATGGACAGGTATGTTAAAGACATCTCTTCCCTTACTTTTAAAAATGTGATGAAAGAAAAATAAACAAATAAGGCCTATTCTCTATTATTATTATGTTGCCTTTGTTAAATAATATTTCTCTGAAAATGGGCAAAGCAGGGAGATTTGTTGCTTTTCCTTCGTGTCATTGTGCTCTATCACAATGCTGCAAAGTCTACATCCTTTCAAAATATGTCATGGTGGGGCAATATCAGAACGTTTTAAGATGTCAATAAATGGTCATTTTCCAAGTGCTATGCTTTGGACTTACCAACATGATTCAAATAGTGTTTTTTGAAAGATAATTGCTTGCATTCACTTTGACCAAAGAGGGGCTAATGCTGCTGCAAAATAATATAATAAGAATTTCCCATGACTTTTTGTGTTAAATATGTAAATCAAAACCAGCTGAAACAATGTATTTTGCATAATTTCACATGAAATATGTTTGTGCTTCATGTATTTTTTTTTCTGGTGGATATGGAACATCTGAGTTTGTATGAGGCCTGTAATAACAATACCCTTGGGAAACAGATTACTAGGGCAAAGAGAGGGAGAAGAAATGAGTGCATAAAGTCTTTAATAGAAGCACAATAAAAATGGAGAGAAAACTCTTTGAACATACAGTGGCTGGGGTGAGGTCCTAGGGGACTGGCAAAAGTGACAATTTGCTTGCTGGCTGGAGTGCACACATGGCATCTTTTCCTGTAAAAAAACAGTATTCCACCTCAAAAAATGCCAGACCAGTGGAAACACAAACACGTGTTGGACACTTTATTGACGATTTTGTGTGTTCAGTGCCCACAAACCAGTTGTGACAGATGTGAGGGAGAATACCTTCAGGGGTGGCTTCAGCAGTGGTAGACACAGCCATGGACTGAGTACCTACACAGCTCTCCATTCAGAAAGTCTATCATAATTACATTCAAATTAAGACAGAATTGCTAACATTCGTCTTCACAGAATGGCTGAGTTCGGAAGGGGCCTCTAGTCCAATGCCCGTACTCAAGCAAGGACACTAGAGCATGTGGCACAGGGTGGCATCCAGGCGGGTTTTGAAGATCTCCAGAGAAGGAGACTCCACAACCTCTCTGGGCAGCCTATTTCAGGGCTCTACCATCCTCACAGGAAAGAAGTTCTTCCTCACATGGAGGTGGAACTTCCTGTGTTTCAACTTGTACCCATTATCCCTTGTCCTGTCACTGGCCACAACCGAGAAGAGTTTGGCCCCATCCTCTTTACATTCACCCTTCAGGTACTTAATACATACTGATTAGATCCCCTCTCAGGCTTCTCATCTCTAGGCTAAAGAGGGCCAGCTCACTTGGTCTTTCCTCATATGATAGATGCTCCAGTCCCTTAATCATCTTTGTTGCTCTACACTGGACACTCTCTAGAAGTTTCTTTGTGATTGGTTTTGTGATTGCATAGCCAGGAATGGGCTGAACCCTGGCATGTTCTTTAGCCTCCACATGTCTAGGTAGCCACGGAGCAAAATGGAGTAGTCCAGCTGCCCAGCTCTAGTCATGTGCACCTCTGAAAGAGCAGAGGTGCAGAGCCTACCCTGCTTCATGATATGTGATGGCAAGACCCATTCTGCCCTTGTCCTGTTGACCATGTTGAGCCTATCCCAAAATACCCATGCAACATGTGTTTTGGATTCAAGATCCTGATCCAGAGATTGAAACATGTTGTAAACATAACCATATTGTTCCAATCTAAATCTACTTGCAAAGTAAAGCTGAGCTGATGCTATTACTTAATGAATAAGGATCAGGGTACATGCTCTGACTTATTAAAGCAATAGTAAGTCATGGTCTGCATTTATATGTCAGAGCACATAAATATCTGCTCACTGCATACACAGAGAGATAATTTTGCAAAAATTGAGAGATGGCAACACATGGCCTGACAATGGGCACAAGTTGTGCAGAAAAGCAGGCAGAGCTTCTCTGGGCTCTGTATTTTATTATTATTATTTTAAAGGAGAATTCCCATTTCATTTAAAGAGCAGAGGAAAAATGCTTCTCTAATGTTTATCTTTTTAAAGCTCATCTACTTGCGGGCATCTAACAAGGCCTAATCAAACAAGACAAGATCCTTGACAGCAGACTGACAGAAGGTCTGTTCGTGAAAAGTGGTTATGCAGCAGCTGAGCATCTCTTCATATCACGTATCGGGCACTAGAAAATGCTGAGCTCAACCAAAGAAGCCATCCCCAGGCTAGGTTTTTGCAAATGTAAAAACCTTTAAATAGGTTTAATCCTTAGCTAGAGTCATTATTAATACATTTTCCTCAGCGTTGTAGTTCTTCGTTAACCTGTTAGATTTTAAGCATATAAGTAACTTTGAATAATCCCCTTAAATTCATATACACACAATTATTGACATCTGATGCATTTGTATGGTTTATATAAAGACAGATTTAAATCAGATAGGACAGTTCTTCATCTTTAAAGCATTTGTGGCAGTGACCTTATCATTTCTAGGCTTAAAATGTAATGTTGTGGTGTAGAATTGTTCAGTAAAATTATGGTTCCCATTTAGCATAGATGCATTTGGAAATAATTTAATGTAGTCTGGGGCAATATGTAACTTTCCAAGATATTTTTCATTTTTCTGTAGACAGTGATCCATTTTTTTTTCTGGCATTTGGAATGAAACCTTATTGGATGTTATAGGTTTCTCTTTAAGAGAAATGTATATAGTTTAACAGAGTATTAATTGGAATTACACTGTTTTGTAGCCTCCAGCTGGCTGTGAAGGTCATACTGGCTTGTATCATACAGTCAAAGCATCATTTTTCTAAACAAACCTGACAACTTCAGGGAACTGAAAAGGGCTATAGTCTGTTTAGACTTCTATCCAATTTTGATTTTTGTTCTTTAATAATTGCATACTTTATATTATTTGAATAAAATTTTAAAAAATGTTTATATCTTAAAACCAACGAAGAACCTTTCTGTGGTTCATATACTGGTATATACCCCACAATATGTATCCCATGTATATGGGTTACCTTAGTCCATTAGTTAACACTGCGCTGGCACCATTTCAGCATTAACACTGGAGTTAAGGTTCCTGTATATAGTACATTATCAGCATTTGACTTTGTAGCTGCCTTACAGTGTTTGGTGTCAACAGAACTGACTCCACTCTGGGTTACAGAGATATTTTTCTGATACTAAAACATTGTTGCATCCTCCTGCACACATGCTTCTGATTACACACTTAAAAAATAATGCATTACAAAGTTAATTGCATTTATTAGTCCATTAACAGAAATCGCATGCCCTTTCTAATGTGAAGGAGAACCCCCTATGGTGCATATACCTTTGTCTCTCATGGAAATTAATAGAACTTGTAGTGAATCTTTCAAATCTTTCAAAGTCTTAGATGGCTTCTGCTTGTATATCTGCATAACCACTTTCATAAAAACCTTAATATTAACAGCATATAATATAGGGTAATACTGCTGAGCTCAACCCTTTTTTTTTTTCCCTATGCATTTACCACACTTATCTAAATGCTAGGTGAGTTCTTGCCTTAAATAATAGTTTCAAACTTCTGCTCTGGAACTGTGTCTGATTTTTAGTTGAGGATTCCTCAAGCTACCATTACTTAAATAGCATTTTTTTTCATTCTGCTGTTTACTCACTTGGAAATTTCTAGACAACAATTATGTTCCTCGTGCTTTTTGTGTTGATCAGGCCAAACTAGTTGGATTCCTTTCCCCTCTGCTCGGGAACCTGGCTCGACTTTTCTCATACTGGTGTTGTGCTTCTTCCTTGTGCCTCTGTAAAGTTGTTCATATCATTCTTGAAGGAGGATATGGATGAGGATAAATGTTAAGATATGAGGTCCTGCCAGTGTCATAGACAGTGGCAAGAACCATTTCCTGTCATTACTGGAAACTTTTTAATTAGCACAATCTAAGATTGCCTTTCATTTTTGTATGGTTTCTGGAAATGAATGACTTCTGGAAAATAATGAGTGAAAGTTTCATTGCTGCATATTTGGGTATTTCCTACTCTCTCTTGCTTTTATCCTCTAAGTTCACTGGTTTTAGCAGAGCTTTTTTTGTTGTTAGCTCGTGATCTTGTATTTTATAGTCTTACCTTTTCTTCCATTTCTGTTGTTGCAAACACAGAGAGGTCATCTAGTTACAATTTAACCATTTCTATGTAATCCAGTCCAAAGGATCATCTCTTCAAGTGGTTAAAACATTGCATCAGTTCCAATTTGATTTTTTTAGTTCATTTTGACCCCGGGATTTCAGCAGAGCTCTGCAAAATGGCAGAGGGAACTCCCTCGAATCATGTCTTCTGTGAGGGCCACAACCTTCAGATTGAAATGTTGGCAGCCATAGAGGTAAAAAGCATGAAGCAATACCAAAATGTAGTAAGATTATTTTTTATTCAAAAAAATCAACATAGTGCTTTGTTTCTGGTCAGTATTTTTTGATTTACTACTTTCACAGCTTCAGAATAAAAATAAAGCACAGTCATTGAAGTTACATTGAACAAGAAGAAGGGAATCTGCTTATTTAGATTCTGAAGAGGTAAAGTAAGTGTGATGGTTGTAATACAACATACTGTATATTATAATGCTGTTGCATCAACGCTCATTTTAGCCTGAGTTTAAATTTTTTTAGAAATGAGCAAAAAGTCTTGAATTACAGTCTCAGTGCAAACTTTTGCTTGCTATCAGTAGTAAACAACACTAAGTATTTTATTACTCATTTTATTACCTGTCAAGTACTGGCCACTTCTGCTTAGCGACATTTATCTTTACAGAGCACAGCAATTGGCTACCTCACAAGTTGATCTTTACAGTTTTGTGCAGAGATGGAAAAAAGTGCTAAAACCAATGCAGCTCCTGGGGCCGTGTGACATGGGATTAGTGATGGAGAGGGGAGGCCTGGAGGAGACCTGCCAGGTGTGGTGAGGGGAGGCCGGGCAGCTGCTGCCGTGCTGAGGAGTGTGAAACGTGAGTGCCGGGAGCTCGGGGAGTTGGCGAGTTGTGCTCACGCGGGAAGGACTGCGAGATCCGGCCTCGCCAGAGCAGCCAGACCTTTCACCACAGCTGTATTTGTCACTCCCCATCCTCAAGGACCCTCCGCTGGAGCAGCCCTGCGGCCAGGCAGCCCCTTTCCCCTTTCCTGTGCTGTCTCTCCAACTTTCTGGATGGCAGGGATAGCAGCACCAGCTGTGGCAGCAGGACTTAGGCTGTTTGACCTGTATTTATCCAATGTGGCATTTCAAAGGAGTATTTGCCACTTCCTTTCACATTATAGGTCTATGTTGCCTCAGACTAATTGTTGCTTTTTCACAGGCCTCCCTCCCATAAACCTTACACTGCCTCTTCCTCACTGCCCCATGTATAAAGCATTTTCTTTACTGAGAGTGATTTTTTTGGCAAAAGTCCATGAAAGCAGATTTTTTTTTTTGCTTTTTCTTTTTTTAGCTACCACGTCAATTCAGCCAAGTAATGTCTTTTGCAAAATTTGTCCTATATTTTCTGATCCACACGTCGAAATTACAGTGGTTTCTCTCTCAGTTATGATAGAAGCCTTTAGTTTAGTTTTATGATGATAATGTTCTTCCTTCCACAGAAAACATGGTCCCCACAGTATTCTGAAATACAGGAAAAGCCATTTAGACATGAGAAACACCTTTTTTACTCTATGGGTGACCAAACACTGGAACAGGCTGCTCAGAGAGGATGTAGAGGCTCCATCCTTGGAGACAGTCCAGCCCCAACTGGACGTGGTCCTGAGCGATCTGCTCCAGGCGACCCTACTTGAGCTAGATTGGACTCCAGAAGTGCCTGGCAGCCTCAGCTGTTCTGTGATTCTGTAATCCGTTGATTTAGTAAGCAGAAGAATTTCATTGCAAAGGAGACATAGAAAAATAACATGAATTAATCCTAGCTGATGGACATAAGCAAAGACAGCTTGTTCTTCAGTGAAAAGTAAACCAGGCCTTTTTAGGATGCACCTATCAGTATAACTTAGCCCTTGACCTGAATGCATTTGTTCCATGCAGGCAACCCAATTGTCCATATATAAGAGAGAGCACAATTATATTTGATTAGCTTGTAGGAGGAGGAAACTCAAGCATGTGAGTTGCCTAGTTGTTCTGATTGCTTCAGTACAGAAACCAAAGAGCTAGAATTAAGTGGTCAGACTTCCACTTTCCTTACGACTAGGGGCAGGTGAAATAATAACTTGCCTTCATTTTACGTTTTCTGCTTTGTAAACCTCAGTTCTACATTTTTGTACTTTCCAGTGAGACCTAAGTGCTGAAGTTTAAAGTGTGCAGGCCATTAGAAATATTCATTCATGTTGACAAATATTTTGATTAAAATACAAGTTAAATGGAAGGCAGAGATATTATCAGCTTTCACAGCTTTTCCCAGCTAGGTGGATACGAGGAGAAAGTATAGTTATAATTAGAGGCTTGCAAGATACTGAGTGTTTCTGTTTCTCTGAAAAGAGAGGTGAACAAATATTGCTTTGATTAGGTGATGCTGTGATGTTACTGCTGCTCAGGAGTATGGTAGTTGGTACCAACACGCTGGTCTAATTCCTTAAGCAGCCCGGAGTGATCCCAGTGGAAGCCGTGGAGCTGGAGCTGGGACTGAGTTTGTCTCTAATCCCATCGCATGCTCTGAGCCCTGCACGTAGCTGCTCCCCAGAGCTTGCTTTTACCCACCAGTGTTGGCGAGGAGTAGTCAGGGATGTCCCTGTGCAATCTCAGTTGCATGATCATTGGACTTATTACCTTCTGAACTTATAGATAGGATATAGATAAGAACTTAATGAAAGAGGCCTTATTACCTTCTGAACTTAAGATATAGATAAGAACTTAATGAAAGAGGCAGTCACAGTGTTTTATTTGAAGGCTCAACAGCCTTGGTACATTGCAGTTTCTTTGGAAGCTTTGAGCTCCCAAATCTCTGCCTGCTTTGTGAGTCAGGATGCTGGTTATGTGTGATCTTTCTCTAGCTGTCTCCTCTGACATCTTCCCCTTGCATGGCTACAGGCCAAGCCCAGAGGTCCACGCGAGGACGAGACCCAGAAACAGGACATTGCTTGAAGACACCTTCCGTGACCCTCTCTCGGTTGGTAGAATTTCTTCTTGGCCACATGTACTACCACAGAGATCTCTTCATCCATTTTTGCAGCATGACCCCATGTTTTACAGAGTATTTTAGCTCCCCAGAGTAACAAGTAACAGAACTAAATGACAGCAGAGCTGAAGCATAAATAGAAAGAGGAACAGGCAACCACTAAGCGCTGACGCTTCAGCCGAGCCTTGGCAAGCCTCTCTGGAAATGCTTGTCCCAGCAGTGCACATTGCATCTGCAAGTACCTTCGTGGTTGCCTCTGTGTACAAAGTTTCTGTCATCACTGACCTACTTTTTTGCTGACAGTGCAAGGGCGGAAGTTTAATTTAAAGGAATTTATTATATTTAAATATCTCACGCTGTTCTGTATTCCCTTGGATGCTGATATATACCAGCATGTGCTGCCTTATTTTGTATTCCACTGTGTCTGGGATGTGAATTTTAAATTTCAGTTTGAATTATGCTTCTAAGTCACTAAGGCTTTTAAAAATGCCAGCTTTGGTAAGCACCTACTGTGCTGTAGATAGATCATATGCTGCCATTTATATCCTTCTTTCTATCAACCAACTTTGTGACCTTGAGGAAGGCCTTTTTTCCCTTCTGTTTTTTAATTGGAAAGGAGTAATTCTGCCTATCAGTGAAACACCTTAGTTGTTGTTTGAGAATGGTGTGGGAAAATTGTGCTTTTTAGCCACCATACCAGGGTTGTCCCATCTGTAAGTGAGAATGTCCATGGAAGAGACCATAAGAGGGTTAAATATTCCCAAACAACTTGGGGTGAAGTGGCAGGATCACTTGCGGGCTGCTCCAGATGGAAGTGGCATCAGTGGCTGGGGCCACCTTAACCTTTCACTTCATTGAAGTTTTCTTCTCCTTTTTTTTTTAAACAAATGTACTTCCCTAGTGATCCCTAGTGTGTTGGGATGTGTGTGTGTGTGTAAAACTATTTTGGGAAGGAATCTGACCATTTTAAGAGAAATGAGTGGCACATAGGATATAAGGCTTCCTACTATATTGTCTATCAAGTGTCAGAACGAAACTGTTTTCTCCACATTTTTCTGAGCTTTCCTAGGATAGGGCAGTAGGGGATATATAGGATCTACTAGGGAATGGCAGATGAATTATTCAGAAAATTACCAATAAGTCTTTCTTTTTTTTTATGCTTAGATGGATTGGATGACATTCTGCAAGATATGTGTTAGTCAAACACAAACTACTGGGCTTAGTAGAAAGAAATAATCAGATGAAATATTTTGACTGTGGTCCAGGTCATGACGTGAGTCCTATCTTCATCTGGCATATTTGCCATTTATGGGTTTTAGAAGCAAAATTAGACTCCTGTCCAGTTGCTGCCTTTGCAGAATCCTTGCTGGTTGATTCAAAGAAAGATTCAGTAAACTTCGAGATGTTTCTAGAGATATTCTCTAGAGATATTCAAGATGCGCTTGGACGCAGTCCTGTGCCACGTGCTCTAGGTGACCCTGCGTGTGCAGGGGGGTTGGACTAGATGACCTCTAGAGGTCCCTTCCAACCTTGACGATTCTATGATTCTATGTGTAACTTCCCTAACTGAAAACATAAAGTAAGCTTCAGATAACTGACAGCACTCTTTCTTCACAAGTCAATCCCTGATTCTTGGTTTCTTAAGCAAAGATTTTGAGATTTCCTATATCTTAACTTCTCTGACAGTTGATATAGAAAAGACCTAAGAGCTTCTCTACAAGTAACATTGTTCCTGATTAACTCTGAACACAATTTGCTGTGAAACAGGAGCACTTTGTTCTGGATTAGCCATATCCATGAAGTCTTATTTGGAGTAAGAGTTCCTACATGTTGTTAATTAGGAACAGCTCCTGTTTAGACAAGCCCCCAGGAAGATGGTTTTGGCAGGCATGCATGAAGGTACAGACTGCCTTTATTTTCT